AACCTTTGAGGCTTTGAGATGCCCACAGGTCAAGATTTAGGCCAGTGCTTCTCAAACTAAATTAAAAATTTTTTTTATCCATCTGCAGAGAACTTACACTTTTATGAAATTAGAGAAATACACTAGATAGTGGTAATGGCTACACAACATTGTGAAGGTACTTAATGCCACTGAATTATACTTAAAATGGTTCAAATGGCACGTTCTATGTTTTTACAATAAAAATTTTGATGACATTAAAAATAAAAAATGCAAAATACTATCCCTTAATAGTATTCAACAGACCTTGTAAGATTGTTCTAAAAGTTTCCAAATGCTTCCTTTCGATTTCTGTACTTATCTCGTTGCAGACCAGTGAACAGTTTGTGGACGGGCATCAGTCTGAGGACTACTCTTTGAGAGAACTGATTCAAGGTGCTGAGAGGTGGACTCTGGCTTTGCAGATGTTCCAGAGGAACAAGGCTTCTGCATCCCCACTCCCCCAGCAGGTACTTCTGGATACTAGGCCAGTCAACTCCAAGCAGCCTGGTCTGACTTATGACTGGACCCCTCCTCCCACCCCAGTTTGTCTCCCAGGGCTTTCTTCATATACATTGCTATGGAGTCCCCATCAATGGCCCCCGATAAGCATAGGGTGTTGTGAGGTGAGCTGGGAGAGAGAAGTACATGGTAGAGGTGTGCCTTCTTTGCTTCTAACCCCTATACCAAAATGGCCCAAGCCCCACCTCCTACAGGAAGTCCTCCTGGGTGTGCAGCAGACTGAGGAGTCTGTCTGTGCCCCATATCAGAGCACAGGTCTGCCTGTATTTGCACTGAATGGTTGACATGGTAAATTGGAAATGCGTGCCTGCTTCTCTGGAGGATGGGGGCAGTGTTAACATGTACCTTGGTTCAAAGGTATGGCCAGATGTCATACATCTGGGTGCCCCTGCACAGGGTATAGTCTGTACAACTCCAAGCAGTGGCCTCAATGGTTGGAGCTCCAGGCCCATCTCCCCCAGACTGTGGGGGGCTGGAGAGCAGGAATTGTGTTTGGGACATCGTACCTGAATACAGAGGTCTCTGCCTGGTTGAGCAAAACAAAACGCAGTGGGCTTTAAAAAAAAAAAAATCTAGGCTCCAATTTTAGAAATTATACCTCCAAAGGTCCAAATTATACCTCCTGGGTCTCTGAATTTTGAAAAGTGCCACGTGACTCTGATGCTCAGCTGGTGTCTGGCCCATGAGAAGTGACAATGAGTGTTTGGTGACTGTGCTTAGAGAGTTGTAGCATGTCTGTAGAATGAGACATAGGGCGGGGCCTGTGGCCCTCAAGGAAAGGAGTTGGGGGATGTCAGAGGGAAAGGAGTCAGTTTTTATTACACTTTTTACGATTTACTATGTTTTTTGTATTGGTTCGACTTTGAGCCTAAAAACGTTTGACAGACTGATAGAGTGGCTGTCATCGATGTCAGGGACCTGCAAACTACAGCCTACAGCAGGGACCCCGGATCCTTAAAGGACAGAAATGGGTGGGCCAGAGAAACAGAGAGCTGTAGAACACATGTCCTACCTCAAGGGGGCAGCAGGGCCTGTTGACTGCATCCAGGCGGGACTGAGCCCAGGGTTGCCAGATCTTCCAGTTTTTCAAGATAAACCTGAAATCAGATTTTCGAGTGGAATGAATTGGCAACTAATTCAAAAATTTAAAACATAGCATGAGCTGAACACAACATGTACGCAAGTCAATTGGCTGCAGGCCACCACCTGGTTCCTTTGGATCTAGGAGGATGCCAGGAGGGTTTGGGCACCTCTGGGGCCAGTCTGCAAAACCACGGCAGAGCCATCCTTTGCTTCTAGAAAATCGTGTTAACTCCCCATGGGATCCACACAGAATGAGGACAAAGCATGCGCCCAGAGGTGGACCACAGGAGTCACGTACCCACTCAAGACTCAGTTCAGCACCTATTTAATCTCCCACATGTGCCCAGATTCAGTGGTGAATGTGACAAGCACAGCCCCTCTCACTCCCACCATTCTGCTCGAGGTAGCGGGCCATGGACATCTGGCTAATCTCCTGTTTCTTCTTCCCCGTGGGTCCATTTCACAGTCTACTCGCCCCCATTAGGACTTGGTGCCCGAGGACAGGGGAGGTACCGCTCTTCATCACACTGGGCAAAGGCTGAGCCTTCCCAGCTATGGGCCAGAGCCCCTCCTATTTGGAGCTCATCTAACCCTACAATTAAGTTTTAAAAATCTGGGTGCCGTCAGAAAACCTTCCCTGTGCCCCTTAAGAGCAGAATACCAGCTTCTGCTGGCAGAGGCCTCAGCCATATGGACACTGTGGACCTTCTGTTTGACCTGTGTGAAGAGGGAGGAGGCAGATGACAAGAGACTTGAGTGGCGGCAGTGTTTCTGGGGCCTTAGATTTCAGCTCAGTGAGGGAATCATGAGTGGCCGAGACATGGCCCCTCAACTCAGGGGTCTGCCATCTGCAATCTGACCAGGTAGAGAAGACCCAGAACCACAGGCTTGGATTTGGAGGGGAGCTTCCAGGGGACCTAATCCAACTTCCCACCCAAACAGGGAAGCTCCTTCCTGAGGAGCCAGGTGCCTTCACCTTCTCATTGTTCCTGAATGAATCGTGTTCAATAGTGACTCAGACAGCTGAATCAACAGTATGGTGGCCAGACCGTTATTTGCAAGAACAGGGGGCCGATTTCCATGGGGCACTTACACATCCCTGGAGAGCAGAACTCTCCACTGGGAGAGTAACACGCACAGTAGAAAGGAGTGCCTTCATAAAGGGCCAGTGCGTGGGGATGAAACGTCTCTTCCCCAGAACAGGTCACTCTTTCCCCCAGACCACTAACCACTTGGTTAGTACAAGCACGTGGTGGACAATATCCTTGGCTAAGTGCTGTACAACACTCCCCCCGCCTTCTGGCATAAGCACATGTGCTGGGACCCCGTTTCACCTTTTCATCGCAAGCATGTTGCCCAATGTGGAGAACATTCTAGGTGCTCGTTAAATGTGGATTTAAGGACTCCCTCAAACCTCTTTTCCACCAAGGCCAGGCAATCACCACGCTCAAGTACACAAGGCTCAGAAGGAACAAGCCTTATTTTTCCACTCAGGTCAAAGGGAATGGAGCATGCTCCTTGGTGACAGACCCCAGGCTGCAGTCAAACCACTCTGGCCTTACAATACTAACCTGCGACCAAAGTGCTGCCAGGAGAGATGCACACTTGAGGACAGAACACGCAGGTCCAGGAAGGCACACAGATAGGTACTTCTCAGAAACCTATGGGTACTCACCACTCCTCCTCCCCTCCAAGTTATATGCAAGGAATTTTGAAGTGGAAGTTAACTAACCTACCATGTTTCCCCAAAAATAAGACTCGGTCTTATATTAATTTTTGCTCCAACAATCTACATTTATTCATGTACAAAAATTTGCATTTATTCAAACAGTCATGTCTTGCTAACGACCTTAACTGGGGCTTATGTTTGGGTTTAGCACTTATATTACGAGCATCCTGAAAAATCATGCTAGGGCTTATTTTCTGGTTAGGTCTTATTTTTGGGGAAACACGGTAGCCAACCTTCTCATTTTATCCGGGAGATAACAGGCCTAGGACATCCTCCTTCAGGCACAGATCATCCCTTTTCTTGCCCTCCCCCATCCCCCCCAGTTCCTTCCCCTACATGTCCTATGTGAAAAGCTGCTGCCATCTATAGGACATCTAGTATCATTACTCCAAATTTCTATCTTCAGGCCATCTTTATATCTCAGCTACTCAGAACTGGTGTTTTCAAGATTCCTGTAGGCACCATCTCACCCATGCAAGCCTCTAGTACCTGCTGTATGCCAGAGACTGAGGATCTAAGGCCGAGTTCCTGCACACGTATATTTAGATATTGTCTGAATCTATTGTTATACTAAGCTACACTTATCTTGTTCCTTGGCTCTATGTGGCCATAACTCTTTAAATTCAGTTTTAGTCTAATTTATAAATCAACTCAAAGCACACAAAAGCTGCACAATCATTTCCAACTCAAGAGTATAAACTTACCTCACTCGGCTCTGGATGAAAATAGTTGTCATTATTTACATATAATGCTCAATACATACTAAACAGGTCTAAGCTTTCTATATGCAAACTCATTTAATCCTAAAAATATAGGTGAAAGACTGAGAGAGGCTATTATTATCCTTAATATGTTGGGTGAAACCCCAATCAAGATAAAGCCAAGACTGCAGAGGCACACACACACAGTAGCAGTCATTCTGCAAACACTTTAACTATTATTGGTACATGGCTCCCAAGTGCTTTTATACAGATGTCTGAGAAGCAAATAATCATATGCAATTAAAGCTATTTCCCAAATACCCTAGGAAAGCTGCCAAAGGCTTTCTATGAATTGAGGCAATGCTCTGATGATGGGTGAACATTACAGCCTCTGGATAACAAGATGACGTACATAACTGCCAACCCTAACCACCCAAGTCAAATGCTGCTCTGCAAAATAAGGTCCCCTTTCCACTTCACAGGAGTTGCTACAGGGGTACAGCCAAGTCTTATTATTCAGATTCTTGAGCTGTTATGGCAGGAAAGTACTATGACATATCCCACCCCCAGATATAACATAAAACTAACAAACTGTCAAATATCTCTAACTAGGATTTTCAGATTTTCTCTAAACTGTTCTCTAGAAACACCATTTTGTGTCTTGAATCTGTCTTAACAGGGACACAGGAACAAAAAAATGCTTGTTTGCAAATAAACATCTGAAAGATATCATAACAGCTGATCTGGGCTGAGGCATGACAACAAAGTGATGATTGTGGAAGCAGACAATACAAACAACTCTGGGGTGAGAAGCTCCGGGGGCAGAGAACTTGCAGCACTGTGCATGCTGGGTATTTTGGCCAGTCCAAAGGCCCCACCTGGAACAAGTATCAGCTAGGAGGGTCTCTGTCACTGGACAATGTATTACCTGGATAGAAAAAAGTTACTGGCACCAACAGCACTGTGCAGTTTTATTAACCATTCAAGTACAGTAGCATCTGGTAAGATTGGGACAGAATTGGGATTTAAAAGTGAACAGATATTCAGCATCTAACAATTTGAAAGAAGCCACTACATACTCTTTTCACAAACATGTTTTCACAGAGCCAATACAGTACTAGCCATTGACCCAGTACACCAAGTGTACTGAAGTAGAAAAGATGCAACAAGAAAAAATAGCTACATTAGAAAGACTTCAACACTTTAGAAAAAGAGTAAAACACTTTTAGTTTCTCCTCTTAAACCCCTAAAACATCATACAGTCTGGATCTACCTATAATCCTACATCAGCTTCTAGAATATTTGTCAGGAGGGTAAAAATAAAATGACACTGGCCAGTACAGTCTTTGGATATTTAGGAAGGGGACGGGGAGAAAGTCAGTTCTCAGAACAAATTAGTCAGCTTCAGTCTCATCAGCAGGATCTTTGGATTCTTTGTTCTTCCGCACTTCTTCAATGTGCTTATCCTGCAAAGAGATAGTATTTATCAAATAAAGCAGCTGCTAAGTCACACCCCCAAAAGAGGCCCAACACAGCATCAGTACACTATATATGTAATAACATTACATATACAATAGCCTCCCCTTACCCATGGTTTTGCTTCCCATGGTTTCAGTTAACTGTGGTCTAAAAATATTAAATGGAAAATCCAGAAATAAACATTTCCTAAGTTTTAAATTGCGTGCCGATCTGAGTAGCGTGATAAAATCTCACGCTGTTCCGCCTGGGACATAAGTCATCCTGGTATCCAGGCTGCAGTACCTGCCTGTCACTCACTCAGTAGCTGTCTCAGTTATCAGATCAACTGTCTCGGTATCAGAGTGCTTGTGTTGAAGTCATCCTTATCTTACTTAACAATGTTCCCAAAGTACATGAGTAGTGATGCTGGCAATCCATATACCAAAGAGAAGCTGTAAACTTTATCATAGGTATGGATGTATAGGAAAAACCAGTGTATAAGTATACACTTATACACTGTGGTTTCAGACATCCACTGGGGGTCTTGGAACACATCCCGCACAGATATGGGAGGACTACTGTATAATTAGTTATTATGGGAATCGCATATTAAGAGCTCTAAGACATAATCTTTGAACTTCCTGGGTCACACAAGGAATCTAACTGAGCCTTCAATTGCTCTTCCAAGTAAAATGCAATTATGCTGGAAATTATTGAGTATTCCAAATAAGACACCTTTCATTTAACATGTTAAGCCCCAAGACTGATGACGAAGACACCAAACACCTTTGATCAAAGCAATTAGCTGAAGGCACTTCATTGGTGCATGAAACTGGGCATGCTTAACCCTTCTCAGAGCAAGGCCGAGACACCAACCTTCTCTCGCAAACGCTCCAGTTTGGCAGCCATTTGTGCCTCCCGATTCTCTTTGTTGGCTTCCATTTTGTGGGTCAGTTTCTCCTCTGCCATTTTACTGAAATTGTTGTTCTCTTCGATAGCTTTCTGAAGCACTTCTTTCTCGTGCTCTTGTTTCTCAGCAAGCTGTTTCAAGACCTCAGCTTCATGGGACTGAAAAAAAGGTTACCAGGCTAGGCTCTCTGCAATGTATTCAGCACTACTTTAAAGTCACAAAAGAAATTATTAATTGGAAGGATTGAAAAGACGCAGGATATTAGATCTCTTTAAATAATACTGGAGTCAGGACCTGAATTACCTGTATCTAAATACTGTGAAAATCATACTCTTTTTCTAGGTGTTTGTATTTACTTTGGAAAACTGCCCACGTTTGTTCAGAGATTCTTACCTAATTATCATCCCTTAAGAAAATCCTTATAAGATTTACTGCTTAATGGTATCAAGGTGCCTTGAGTGATACGCACTTAGGAATGGAACTTTATTATAAAGAATTTCAGTTATTCAAAGCCTATCCAACGAAATTAGCTCCTTATTAAAAAAAGGAACCATACTGATAAAATACATGAATAGAAAATTACAGACTTCAGATTACTATTTAAGCCAGAAGGATTTGTTTCAAAGAAAAGCTTACTAGCTTCTCTGTGGAAGCTGCATTAACTTCCAGGCCACTGGAGCTCTATTACCATGGTGTGCCTCCTTCAACACTCCATGATAGCTTGTTACCAAACAGATTCTGATGTTTCTGGAAGTATTTACTTGCAGGAAAACTACAGAACATCTGCAACTGGTTCTCTTAATTTTCTCCTGCAAAATCTCAGTCATGATAAGAGTTTCACTATACTTAGCCAGTTACTATGTAAAGCACTGGCTAATGGCTTCAGGCCCAGACTTTATTCTTAAAAACTCTGTTCAGTCTTCAGCTACAACTCTCCCATGAATGCAAACTACACAGAAGGGTAGGTAGGAGACAATGCACCACTGCAATGCTGCCAATCTTCTCGGGAAATGCTTCGCAATGTTGATAGTGGATCAACGAACATACATACAACAGTGGCACTGAAAGGTGCATAGCACATGCTACAGAAGCTTAAAAGGGGGCTTCTATGTGTATGTGTGTGGTTAAATGTGCTAGATTTCACATTGCACTAATTGTGTTGGTTGGGGGCAGGTTGCTACTTCACCTTTTTGTGCTTTAGTTTCCCTGATTTTAAAATTAAACCCATTCACCCCAATCAGGGTTGTTGGAAAAGGAGATGAAAGGAGAATTTACATAAAGTTCATAATGTATAGAATAATGTTGAATGGAAGGAAATACATCAAAATGTTAATGATTATTTTTAGGATGCAGGATAATGAATATTCTTAATTTCTTCTTTATGAACTTTTGTTGTTCCCAATTTTTCTATAACAAGCACATTAATATTTGATTTTTCTGATTAGTTCTTTTTAAAGATGGCTACTTTATAATAGAATTGCTTTTATAAAAGCTGCCATAACATCAGTATGCCAGCTGAGCAACACAATCACATTACTAACAATTTAAAATGTTTTTATTGTACAGTTCTCAAAAAAACCCAAAAATGCTACCACAGGCATACATACAAATCAAAAGAAACTCCCCAAATATAAAGAGACAAATCAATCAATCAATCAATCACCCATCAACAACCTATTTTTCAAAAAGAAATTATGAGAATCATGAAGTTTGGTTTCAGATAGACCTGGGCTTGAATTCTGCCTCCAGGATTCACTCACTAGCTATATGACTTAGGAAAATGATTTAACATTCCCAAGACCATTTTCTAGTCTCAGTATGTCGGACAATACCCACCAATTAGGGTCATTGTATTAAAGGACAAAAATATAAAGTTGGTACATAATAGGAGCTCATTAAATGATAGTATTTTCTCCCAGTCACTGGCATATGTACTTTTCATGTAGTTATAACCACCGCCTAGCTATAATTGTTTTGATTCTGTTACAGAAATAAAACTGATTTGCCACATTATATTAATAAATATCCTATTTCCTGTGAACTGTGATGTTTACCTTGCGTCTTTCTTCTGCAGCTTCTAATTTCTTCTGAATTTCCTCCAGGGAAAGATCCTTCTTCTTTGGAGGGGAAAGGGGGAATTCTGGGACGGATTCTTTTGAACGAGGGCTGAGAATCAGCTCAAAAGCCTGGCCTGAGGCACGCTTCTCCAGCTCTTTCACCTGGATATCTGGATTTGATCATATTTATAACATACTCAGAAAAATGGGGTTTTCCTATTCTAATAAACTGTTCTATGATTTTCTAAACACCAAATCAATTGAATGAATAATAGAATTAGGAATGATGAGGCTGTGTTTGCAAGCAAGAAATTATTATGTAAATACCACCTCACAGAAAAACGAAGTTCAACATTTTGGAGTTAATAAATACCATTCTGAAATCAGTTTTGACAGTTTCTTTCATGAACAAAAGAAAAACTTGTGTAAAACTCCACAATTTTCCTTCAGTTCAAGTCAAATCGTCTAACAATGAAACAATTATGAGCTCTCAGTATGGTCAAGTGATAACCATTTTTTTCTTTAGTTAGTCTCCGATTTATAAAATAAGATTTTTTGATAGGACCAAAACCTAAATGCCAAATTAATGTCTTGAGAGCTGAGCCATCTCCTATTCTACAATCATAAGCCCATCACAATTTTAGCTTTTCCTACCATAAGTTTACCTACCAGAAGAAGCCATGGTGAACAGAAGACAAGAGACTGGCTGTGTATTCTACACAATCCACTGGCAAAGAAAACCCTGAAAATAATTTTCAAAAGCATGCATCAATTTCTTGCATTTCTATGTCATCAATCCAAAGGGGCCTCAAATCACATCCACATAAATCAATGTCAGAAAAATCACTACGGTGGAATTAAATAAGACATCATTAACTAAAAACTATAAAAATCTATAAAATACTAAACATTGGGAAATTTAAAGGGAATAGAACATTGGTTGCAAAAAATTAACTGAGCTTGCCTTTCAAAATAACAACTCTTGGATTTTAAAAATTAGACAAGGTTAAGTGACAGATTCCCCCCGCCCCCAATAAACTCTAAATTTCCCCCTCTAAACAGCAGATATTCCAGATTCAACTCAACAGTAGACCGGAGCCATCTTAATACTGCCTACAACTCATTGTGCAAATGAAATACCCACCCTTGCTTTGTCTGCGTCTGCCATGGTAGAAAATAAAACATCCAAGCTAATATTAACCAATAATGTTGAACTTATATTGTCCTAGGGCTAAAGCTCCTAGTCTAACAACGTGCAAAATTAATTAGTTTACGAACCTCTAGGTTTTAGGTTATATTTGCTGCCTTATGTCATGAAAAATCCTACATCCTATCTTGATTTTTTTGAGGTCCTGATTCTTGTGGAACCCAGGCTAGTACCAAAAATGTAGGATTACAGATTCCCAACAGCTGTAAATTAGAATCTAGCCCAGGCAAACCATCAGACGCAGCGCCGAGCCCAGGGTGAGCGTGGCCCTGGTCAAGGCCAGAAAAAGTGGCAGGCCGCCCTTGGCCAATCAGAGCACGCCCTGCACTCCGGACCCTGACCCCGCCCCTTTCCTCCCCGCGCCTTTTCGAATCTCCGCGAACTCACAACACCCCGGAGCCCGCGCGCGTGGGAAGGGGAGGGATGGGCGGGGCTAACGGTCCTACCCGGGTAACTCCGCCTTTGCTGGGCTCACTCCGCGCGGACGCCCCCCAACTCCCGCCAAAAGCACCTCGAGGCCGCCCCCACCCCCACTGCAGCTCGGGAACAAGCCGTGGGGTAGCGCCCCCATCGGCTCGCCACCTATTCCCTTCGCTCACAGCCAACCTATCGCCACGCAGTTGTCCATGCCCCCAGACACAAGGGCAGGAGAGCCCTCGTGAAGTGTTAGCCTCTCAGGCGCGGCCCCAGTCACTGGGCGCGGGTGATCGCGGGGAAGGGGCGCAGCCCGGGCCGAGCGCAAGCTGGCCCTAAAATCCCTGTGCCCTGGGGGCGCTACCCCGCCCCATCAGACAATGGGGACCCCAGCGGGGCCGCGCCTTCAGGGGGAGGGAGAGTGGAAAACGAGGGCCCACGCCCCCTATTGTCTATACTCGACGGCACCCCGGGGCTAACGCCCTGGGCTCGCCCAGTTGGCCGCGCCCCCTCCCCACAACAGCCGCGCCCCCAGGGAGCGGGGACAAAGCCCAGGCTCCGCCTGAGCCACACACAAAGCAGAGCGACCCCCGCCCTCCAGCCCCTCTGTGGTCCGACGCCCCGCCCGCCGCCCTCCAGTAGGGGGCCGCTGCCTAGGCCCGGCCCCTCCTGCCGGCCGCGTCCCGCTCGCTGCCCACCGCCTCCTCGTAGAGGTCCGCACCCACCTGCTCGATCCGAGCCTCCTGGCCACACTCTGAGCACCAACAGACCCGAGCGCGCACAAAAGCGCCAAACAGCCGCACGTGACCTCCCTACAGGGCTCTGCATTGGCTGAGAGCGGCGGCACGTGCCGGCCCCTCCCCCCACAGCCCAAGTGGGCCCCGCCCCTGTGGACCCCCGGAGCACCTCGGGAAGTGTAGTCCAGGCTAGCGGGGAAGGACAATGCAAGGGGTGGGGGCATTTGGGGGCCTCCCCAGGTGTGATCCCGGAGCCGGGGCGGTTGTCTGGCCGTGGAAGAGGGTGTTGCCGTAGCCCCTGGCCTGGATCTGAACAGCTCTCGCATCCCTAGAAAAAGGGCGGGGCAGGGAGGGGCGGGGTCCCTTCCTACTACCTCTCAGAGGGTGGCAGCCTGGACTCCGCCTCGGGTGAGCCACTCGACTCGCATCGCCAAAAGGGCAATACTCGGACAGCGCAGTACCCCACCTGTTTCCCACTCCGTGCCGCCACCTAAGATGCCCAAGCCCTTGTGACAGGACAATGCCACTGTACGCCCCTGAAAGGCTCCCTGCACCGGGCGCCCTACCTCGACACTCGCGTGTCACCTGTATTGTGACATTATCATAATCCTTAACCCACTCAGTCCTAACTCAGATCACGGGCGTGGCCCTTTCCTCACTGTGTGCGTTCTTGCTACCATCCTAGGATACCGGAGCTGGTGACCAGAAACCTGTGGGGAGAAAGCATGAGGCTCTGGAATTTGATCTCCTTTGGTCTAACAGTCACTCGGCTTAAATGCAGACTCCATCTGTTCTGCCTAGTCTTTGGCCTGATGATGGGGAAGGAAGAGCAATAGCAGTTCTAACTACACAGACTGCAGTTAAGTGTTGCTTTTGTTCTCGGAGCACGTGCTCTCCAGAGCGGTGCTGGGCCCTTTTTAAGAATCAAAACAAAAGGAGCCACAAGGTCATGGTTCCTCTTGGCCTGGATAGATCACAACACAGCAGAAGCACAAAGGAAATTGGTCTGACCCTGGCTATCAGAATGAGCGTCCCTCTTCCCACAAAAAGGCCCCAGGAAAAAGGAGTAAACTGAATATGGTTCCCAGGCTCCTCCTCCCATTCCCCTGACCAAGGAAGGCTATGTCCGCAGGTGGTGGTCATTACACCAATGCACCTGCTTTGAGATCCTGACTGGGCAGAGGGACACTTTTATTTTATTAACCAATGGGCTCTGTCTCCCCAAACCCAAAAACAAATACGAGCAACTCTGCTGAAACAACTGTCCTAATTTAAAAAGACTCTCCATGTCCAGCTAGTCACTAGGGATGTGGTAGAGATAAATACAATGAATAGGTGCCTGAGACAAGGAAAACTGGATCACACAGGCAGCAGACACACCACACAAAGCAAACAATTAGCAGTGTGCTGTTGCCTGAAATATGCTTGTTGCAGCATTTTCTCCAACAATCATCCTTGTGTGGGGTCAGCCTCTACCCCGCCCCCAATCTAAGTGGTTTTCCCTTATCATGGACCAGGAATAATTCAGACTCTGAGCCCTTAAAGGCTTCCCCCTCCCAGACCAAACTTAGCTATGAACTGGCCAGGTGTTTCCATCTGTCAATTTTCTGAGCAAAATCTCAAAAA